TATATATATATATATATAGGCCGGGTCAATGCCCTGGGTCGGCCGTGTCAAGACCGGGTTGGGCGGGTTTTGACCGGGTCCTTTGTTGCCCGATCCAAATAGTCCACCCAGACCGGTTCCGGTTCCGTATCGACCGAGTCTCGGATCGACCCATCGGGTTGGTCCGGGTAAAAAAAGTATGCCCCTAATACGTTAATTAAATCAAAAAAGGCAACTCACCATGTTTCTGCAAATCATTCTGTAACTGAAACTATTGCTAATTTAAGAAGGAAAAAGATACCAAATAGAAACTGAGATGTTGAGAATTATTAGTATATTTGTTGTTTATAGTATATTATTTCTAATAAAATAGAAAAATAAAACTAACAGTTTAATTAAAGTATATTATATTTGTGTGTATGTGTGAGAGTCATATGTAGATTGAAATGACATTATTTTTTTTTAATTCATAAATAAGCAAATATATTTGTTAAATACTAAATATTTTAATTACATTAAATTTATATCAGTCTTAGAGCATCTCCAATGCTCAAATGTTGTTGTAGTAAATTACATTCCACATCAATATATTTAACAATGGTACAACTTTTCATCCTCCAATGCACATTGTGATTACAAATGTTGTGATGATGTGGACATAATTAATGTCTACAATGTAGAGAAGAATGTGGTTATTCCACAGTATCCTCCACATTCTAGCTAGCCAATGAAAATGAGAGAGATATTTATTCATATCAATTCCAAACTACTTAATTATTTAATTAATATTTTTACTACATATTATAAAATATTAATATTTGATAAGTAAATAATATTATAGTTAGACTAAATTGTACATTGGAGATAATATTTTAATTTCCGTAATTTTAAACTTAACATTTTTCCTACATGTTTTGCAATCCAGTACTTAATTTAGCGACATTTGTCAAAATTTATACTATAACAATATTAGAGCATTGGAGATGCTCTTGCACTACAAAATTTACTAATAGTATACTTTGCATATAGTTTAACCTTTACTTTAAGCTTTGAATATCATCACATAAACTTTTTATGGATATATGATAAACAAAATACATAATATATTACCGATTATATATAGTTCGAGGAAATAAAAGATAAGCAAATTATATACTATGAGTAAAATTTGTTGGTTAATTTATATATATGAATATCCTAATATAAACTATATATACTGATAAGATAAATAAATTTTATAATAAAATAGAGACTAGCTAAACTTCAAGTGAATAATATTCAGATAAACCATTTATGGGTTAGGTTCAAGTGAGAAATGAGAAAAAATTCCAACCAATAGGATTGAATGATCCAATAGCCTAAAAAAAGCATTGTTTTTCAACCAGGACCGACCCGGCAGGTCGACCCGGGTCCCAGTCGACCCGTAGCTGGAACCGGTCCGGGTGGGCTAATTGGACCGGGTAACAATGGACCCTGTCAAACCCGGCCAACCCGGCCTTGACCTGGTCGACCCGGGTCATTGACCCGACTGGGTCAACTCGATCCATCTATAATTTTTATTTTTATTTTTTTGAATATTTTTTATCAAAAAAATAAAAAACTATGTAAATATATTGATATAGTAAATATTTATTGTGAGATACAATTCTTTTAACACTTTGATGTATAAATTTTATATACAAAATATTTACTTTTGTTACTTTTATGTGTAGTTATATGTCAAAAGTACTATATATATAATTTTAAGAATTTTAAAATTAATTATCTGGTTCAGCAATTGACCCGGTGACCCCGCGGTGTTTTCTTGTGGCAAACTGGGACATCGTCGGGCCCAATGTCCGAAATCGGGGGGTACACGAGCTCTTTTAGTGGAGGAGTTGGAGGATACTGAGTACACTGGTCCGTCTTTTATTTAAAATTTTTCTTAAAAAAATGGTCATTTGATAAACTCTAATTAACAAAAATGCAATGCAATGGGCTGTAAACGTTTAATTGAAATCATATTTTCAATATAATGATTTACTCTTTCAACCTCTTAATTGTAAATCAATTTAGTGATTTATAAAATCGAGTATTTAGTTGGAATTTTTGATATTTGAATGTTTATTTTTACTTTATTTTTCTTTGTGTAATCACATATTTTAATTTTATTTAAATTTTCTTAAAAAAAAAGTGGTCATTTGATAAGCTCTAATTAACAAAAATGCAATGCAATGTGCTGTAACGCTCAATTGAAATCAGATTTTCAATAGAAAAAAAATTATTTTTTTCATAAATTACAGATGTTCAACTTAAATTACAAATACATGAAATATCATTTTTTTTTTTGTTTATTCTTGTAAAAGTTTGAGAGTGATATAGATTCAAAGTTTTAAAACTTGATGTACACATAAAGATATTTATGTTTATAAGTATACACAATTTTATATGAAATGAGCGTTTCGACTTAACTACAAGATTATTATTTAGTATTATAAATTGAGCCCCCTGAGTAAAATTTCTAGATCTGTCACTGATCATATGGTTTGCTGCTCCAGTGTAAAGCGTCAGATTGCTAATCCTGTGTACGAGTTATTTGTACCGAGGGTCAATGTGAGTAAATGACTCCCACTAAAGAAACGAGCAAAGTCTTAGATCTTCTATTGATCACGATTTGTAGTTCATTAAGGGAAGGAAAACAGAAAATGAATCTGTTATGTAATGGGTTCTCAATAACTAATTTTTTGGTATTTTTTGTATTTTTTTTAATTGACGAATTTGAAGTAAAACGAGCTGAATTGTAAAGGAAGAAAAGGGAGAATTGCAGAGATAGAAAGATGAGAGGGAGAGTTGAAGAAGAAAAAGACAAGAGAGTGTAACTGCCAAAAACTTGGCCATGTGCGTGATTTTTCTCATATTTATAATAATAATAAGGCCATGGGCCATTACAATTACTTAGGCATCATTTTGGGCCATAATCCTAACCTGAACCCACCATACTAATTAATAAATAATTAAGTAACTCAACTTGTTTTGGCCCACTTGTACATGAATTTGGCCCACTAACCAACTCACCCATTATCAACTTATCTCTTTCACTCACATTGTTCGAATTTGGACAGTTTTCCCCAAACTCTGCATTTCCCAAGACTTCGCCTTTTCTCTCTTCAGATCCAAACCCTAAATCCTTCTCTTCAGCTTCAGATTTCATAACAATACCCCCTTCATGAACATATCCTTGTCCCCAAGGATCAAATGTGGGAAATTTTTTTGTGATGAACGCAGCATCTCCCCAAGTTGCGAGTTCCGGCCGGTCAATATCCCACTGTACCATCCACTGTTCTACGACCTTTCCCCGACGATTCACCACTCGCCGTGATAAGACTCCCACCGGGGTTACTTCAAACAACCCGTCGTCGGTGGTCGGGGGTAGATCTGCAGTCACCAGAGCTGCCGATGAAATCCTCTTTTTCAGCAGAGACACGTGGAACACCGGGTGTACTCGTGAACCCTTCGGCAGGTCTAAGCGGTAAG